GTGTGTGTGTGTGTGTGTGTGTGTGTGTGTGTGTGTGTGTGTGTGTGTGTGTGTGTGTGTGTGTGTTATGTGTTAGAATTCTACCTAAATTGAGCCCTCTGAAGGTTTTAAATATCCTTCATTACTTAATACATGCTACAAACTAAATAGGAACTTATGAAATATGACTAACTTACCTTAAGACAACTGGTTTATTAATCCATATTGTACATATCTTTTTCAGATTCTGAGTAAACCTCCAGAATAGTCTACCACATTGTGTATTATGTTTCATTACACAGACCCAGAAAGGGTAGGAGGGGGTTTAAAGGTGTGTACCCCTTTATACCCTTTAAATTTCGAATAATGAGAATATTTCACTGATTAAATAAAACTTAACAAAATAACACACCTGGTTTTAGAATAAGAAGACACATCCAAGATCATCAAGTTCAATCTCTTCCTTAAATGCAAAGGAAGCTATAAAGGTCAAGAGACAGCATAACTTATCCCAAATCGGATAAGGTATAAGTGGCAAAGCCTAGATTAGCACCCACTCACAAGCGCTCTTCTATGCACTGGCACTGCTCCTCAACTTAGGGATCAGGTTACCACCATGTACGTGATCACAGAGAAGCAGTCTCTGAGAGGACCACCACCTGAAATGGAGGCCCCGGGTTCAGCCCACTCCAGCCACAAACCTATGGGAGCACTTCTTTGGTCACACAAGTTCAGAACCACCTCAGGGACATTTAGAGAGATGATTACCTGTTCATAAAAGTAGAGCGCTCTTTCAAAGTTCTTCAGCCCAGTATAGATCATCCCTCCATAATAATAGTAACATAAAAAGTGCTTTGCATCATAGGCTCCATTCTCTTTACAGATATCCATCATATCCACGTCAAGATATGGAAGGGCAGGCTTAAAGCATTTTGCTAGCAAACAAAGCTGTAAACAAATTGATAGTAAATCATCACTTTAATTTTACTTTGGCAGGTATTAGCAGAAGGAGGAAATTCATAGATTCTAGAAATTTCCATATAATTTTGTTTTACATTTTATTGACTAAAATGATCTAAATGTCAACACATTTCATCTATGTCCTATCTGAAATGCTTAGGACCAGAAGTGTTTCAGATTTTGGAATATTTGCAGAATACATACCAGTTGAGCATCCCTCATCTGAAAACCTGAAATCCAGATGCTCCAGTGAGTACTTCTTTAAGTGTCATGTTGTTGTTCGGAAAGTTTCAGATTTTGAATCATTTTGGGTTTCAAATTTTTGGATTAGGAATACTCAACCTGTACTCCATTTTCTTAGTCATTCAGAATAAAATAGCATTGCTTTGTTTTGTTTTTTGAGACAGAGTCTCACTCTGTCCCACAGGCTGGAGTGCAGTGGTGTGATCTCAACTCACTGCAGCCTCCACCTCCCAGGTTCAAGTGATTCTCCTGCATCGGCCTCCCGAGTAGCTGGGATCATAGATGCAGTGCCACACCCAGCTAATTTTGTATTTTTAGTAGAGATGGGGTTTCACCACGTTGGCCAGGCTGGTCTGGAACTCCTGACCTCAGGTGATCCATCCACCTCGGCCTCTCGATGTGCTAGGATTAGAGGCGTGAGCCACTGTGCCCAGCCCAGGATTTCTCTGTAAAAAACTAAACAGCAAGGCCTAGCACTGCTGTTTACAATGTTTCTTGAAGGAAACAATGTAAATACCCCACACAGACTTGTGAAACCATGGCATACTAACAGAATACTCCGTACCTGTAAAGAACCACTATGGAATAATCTCCAAGATATGTTAAATAGAAAAAGCAAGCTATATAAGCGATTGCATAATTATTAAAATTTTTGTAAAAAAATAAGAAAATATCCATTCATTTTTTTTTTTTTTTTTTTTTTTTTTTTGAGACGGAGTTTCCCCAGGCTGGAGTGCAACGGCACAATCTTGGCTCACTACAACCTCTGCCTCCCAGGTTCAAGTGATTCTCCTGCCTCAGCCTCCCGAGTATCTGGGATTATAGGAATTCGCCACCACACCTGGCTAATTTTTGTATTTTTAATAAAGACAGAGCTTTGCCGTGTTGGCCGGGCTGGTCTCGAACTCCTGGCCTCAGGTGATTCACCTGTCTCAGCCTCCCGAAGTACTGGGATTACAGGCATGAGCTACCGCGCCCAGCCTCATATTTGCTTTTAAGTCCATAAAATGTCTTTGGAAGGATACAGGAGAAATTACTAACATAGTTTCCTTTGCAGAGAAGAAATAGATGGCTAGCGAACAGAGTGGGAGGGAGACTTCATTATATACACACCCTTTTGCCTTCTGGACTTTGAACATCACAAAATAAGATAAATAAATGAATAACATTTTAAGGTGTAAGATGTTAGCTGTGTTAAGTCTCAGGTTCCACAATTTTTTTTTTTTGAGGCAGAGTCTTGCTCTTGTTTCCTAGGCTAGAGTGCAATGGCATGATCTCAGCTCACTGCAACCACCGCCTCCCGAGTTCAAGCAATTCTCCTGCCTCAGCCTCCCAAGTAGCTGGGATTACAGGCATGCACTACCACGCCTGGCTAATTTTGTATTTTTGGTAGAGATGGGGTTTCTGCATGTTGGTCAGGCTGGTCTTGAACTCCTGACAATCAGGTGATCTGCCTGCCTCAATCTCCCAAAATACTGGGATTACAGGTGTGAGACATGGTGTCTGGCAGGTTCCACAGCTTTTTTTTTTGGATGGAGTAATGCTCTGTTGCCAGGTTGGAGTGCAGTGGCGCAATCTTGGCTCACTGCAACCTCCATCTCCTGGGTTCAAGCAATTCTCCTGCCTCAGCCTCCTGAGTAAATGGGATTATAGGTGTATATCACCACACCCAGGTAATTTTTGTATTTTTAGTAGAGACAAGGTTTCACACATGTTGGCCAGGATGGCCTTAATCTCTTGACCTCGTCATCTGCCCACCTAGGCCTCCCAAAGTGTTGCTATTACAGGTGTTAGCCACTGCACCCACTCAGTTCCACAATTTTTTAAATGATTCAGGATTTTTTAAAAAGTTACAACTAGGGCTGGGCACAGTGGCTCATGAGGTAGTTCAAGGTCAGCCTGGCCAACATGGTAATCTCTACTAAAAATAAAAATATTAGCCGGGCATGGTGGCACGTGTCTGTAGTCCCAGCTACTTGGGAGGCTGAGGCAGGAGAATGCTTGAACCTGGGAGGCAGTTGTTGCAGTGAGCCAAGATCACGGCACTGAACTCCAGCCTGGGTGACAGAGTGAGACACTGTCTCAAAAAAAAAACAAAAACAAAAAACGTATAACTATTAATTACGCTATTGGTTCCACAAGCTTACTAGCTGAGTTTGCATCCAGCACCCTCCTGAATATAATAGATATATCTACATATTCCAACTTCTATAACACATCACAGTGTCCACCAACTTGCCTTGGTTTATCAAACCCGATGTTAAGGAAGCCTATAAACAAGCTACACCTCTGACCTGGTATGAATCACACACTTTGGTTGCTTACCTGGCAGAGATCAGCATGTATTGAGGTCAGCTGGTTTGTATTCATCTGCATCTTGTCTATGGCTTGCTTAAGGATGCCAATTCCTCGCAGGGGCTGTCAGAAATGACATCTCTTTCAGATAAGTTCTCAAAGATGGCAGCACATTGGATCTTATGTTGTCACTTACAAATAAAAAATAACACTAATTGATAGGTTCCTTTAAATAGCAATATAAGGTTTCCATACTCTTTCAGGAAATTTCTGTCCCATTTAAGTCAGAAAACGTTTTCTTAAGCTGTTTCTTGGAATTTTTAGTAACTCAGCATTATTTTTTAAATCACAAAAATCTTTTATTTTACAATGAAGATCAATAATCAAAAACAATATTACTTTCTCAACAGTTCATTGTGTTAACATCTAAACAAATGAAAACTTTCCAAATCACTGATTATACAAGAGATAACAGCTTATGCTTAGGAAAATTACTTGTGCATAGGGATGTTGGCAGTTTCCCACAGGGCAGTCTAGCCCTTACCTGGTAGTTAATTACCACCAAAACTAACACCACAGATTTCAAAAGGACTGTTTCCTGCCCTGATTATAAATAACAAAACCAAGTGTCAAGTGAGGCATAATCAATTTTTGGAGAGAAGAGACTAAAAATATCTCAATAACTTACAGCTTTTCCAAAAACTCCTGATTTTTCTTAACCATCTCTTTCAGTTTACTTAGTATTACAAAATAACAACTGGTTCTATTTTCAGCCTCTTTCAAACCACTAATCTTAAATTCATTTTCAAATTAAAAATAAACACCTGACTGGGTACAGTGGCTCACACCTCTAATCTCAGCACTTTGGGAGGCTGAGGTGGCCTGATGACCTGAGGTCAGGTGTTCTAGAGACTACCTTGGCCAACATGGCAAACTCTATTAAAAATACAAAAATCACTGGGAGGCCAAGGTGGGCAAATCGCCTGAGGTGAGGAGTTTGAGACCAGCCTGGTCAACACAGCGAAACCCTGTCTCTACTAAAAGTACAAAAATTAGCCAGGCATGGTGGCAGGCACCTGTAATCCCAGCTACTCGGGAGGCTGAAGGAGAACTGCTTGAACACAGGAAACGGAGATTGTAGTGAGCTGAGATTGCGCCACTGCACTCCAGCCTGGGTGACAGAGAGACTCTCTCTCAAAAAAAAAAAAAGAAAAAAAAAATCAGCCAGGCATGGTGGAACGTGCCTGTAGTCACAGCTACTCAGGAGGCTGAGGCACAATAATTGCTTGAACCCAGGAGATGGAGGTTGCAGTGACCTGAGATCACACCACTGCACTCCAGCCTAGGCAACAGAATGAGACTCCATCTCAAAAAAATAAATAACTAAATAAATTTTCTTTAAAAATCCACATTATAACTTACTATTATAAAACATAAAGACTGAAGCACTGTTCCAGATTACGGGACACTAAAAAGACACAGCAATGTAATGCAACCCATGGCCCAAGGTTTTCTTTTGCTACATGGACACTGTCTGAACAGCTAATGTCCTTTAGCAAAAGACAATCCTTTTTATCCTTTTTATTGGCTGAAAATCTAAATGGGGTCTGTCGATTTGTTGATGCGTTATATTAACATTCATTTCTGGGCCGGGCGCAGTGGCTCACGCCTGTAATCCTAGCATTTTGAGAGGCCGAAGCAAGTGGATTGCCTAAGCTCAGGAGTCAAAGACCAGCTTGGCAACATAGTGAAACCCTGTTTCTACTAAAATACAATTAGCTGGCATGCACCTGCAGTCCCCATCTACTCAGGAGGCTGAAGCAGGAGAACTGCTTGAATCCGGGAGCCGGAGGTTGCAGTGAGCCAAGATCACCCCACTGCAATCCAGCCTAGGCGTTAGAGCGAGACTCTGTCTCCCAAAAAAAAAAAGTTCATTTTTGGATGCTGGCCATTACACTGTGCTATGTAAGAGAATGTGCTAATTTTTAGGATTTACCCACTGAAGTATTTCGGGATAAAGAACAACACATCTGCAATTTATTTTCCAATGGCTTAGAAAAAAACAGAGAAGAGGAGGGGGAAAAAAAAGAGTAAGTGTGGTAAAATGTTAACATTTGGAGAATATAGGTGAAATGTATGAGAATTTTTTATATTATTCTTGAGGCTTTTTGTGAGGCTAAAATAATGTCCTAATTAAAAGTTAAAATAAAAAATGTAACAGATAAAACCCAGCTATTGCAACATAAAGGGTACTAGCTTGGTAATTCCAACTACTTGGTAGTTCCACCACCAGCAGCCTCCCTGAGGTGCTACACCTCCCTGTGCCTCCACCTCACTCAAGGGATGCTGGGGCTACCTATACTGATAGCAATGGCTGTGAGTGCTCTCAAGTGACCATGGACATCCAGGTGTTGGATGCTCAGTACTAACCTGGAATCTTAATATAATACTGCATTGTATAAGCTAGTTACATATTATAGCAACTAGGAATGCTTGAATAGTAGTATTTCTTACCTGTTTTCTTTCCACAAGTGCATTTGTTAGCTGATGGCAAAGCCCAGCAACTAGATACAATAACAAAATATTGAAAATATAAATATAACCACAAGGGCAAAATAATTTCAATGGAAAATAAAATGTTATTTAGCTTACAAGTGTCTGTTGCATATCGAATGTGCTCCCCATTACAAGTACTGATGAAAAGCTGAACCTGTGAGAACAGCGTTTCAAAGTCAGGAACACTGGGCATAGAAAACTTCACAAACCTAGGATGAGCAGAAAAGAATCAAATTACCCTGATAGTTCATGGCATAAAATACAGAAGCAATGTATGCAAGAAATCCATCCTGCCTCCGATACTCTGTAAAATTTAATGAGGAACAGTATTCTTTTTTTTTTTTTTTTTTTGAGACAGCATCTCACTCTGTTGCCCAGGCTGCAGTGCAGTGGCACGATCTCAGCTCACTGAGGCCTCAAGCGATTCTCCCACCTCAGTCTCCTGAGTAGCTGGGATTACCTGCATGCGCCACCATGCCCAGCTAATTTTTGTATTTTTAGTAGAGATGGGTTTTCACCATGTTGGCCAGGCTGGTCTCAAACTCTTGACCTCATGATCCGCCTGCCTTGGTCTCCCAAAGTGCTGGGACTACAAGCGTGGGCCACCATGCCCGGCCTGAGCAACGGGTGAAAAAGCATGACTGTCGCAAAAAAAAAAAAAAAAAAATTAGTCATTGCTTTTCCTGCTTTGAGGAGAACATACTAAGGGGGACCAAGAGTGAAAGCTATGGGCTAGCTGGAGGTGGGCAGCAGCTTAAAGATGCTGCCACCAGGCTGGGCGCGGTGGCTCACCCCTGTAATCCCAACCTTTGGGAGGCCGAGGTGAGTGGATCACAAGGTCAAGAGATAGAAACCATTCTGGCCAACAAGGTGAAATCCCATCTCTACTAAAAATACAAAAACTAGCTGAGCGTGGTGGTACATTCCTGTAGTCCCAGCTACTTGGGAGGTTGAGGCAGGAGAATTGCTTGAACCTGGGAGGTAGAGGCTGCAGGGAGCAGAGATGGCAATACTGCACTCCAGCCTGGCGACAGAGTGAGACTCCATCTCAAAAAAAAAAGAGATGCTGCCACCAACTGTGTGGTCTCTCTGGGAATAGCACTGACAAGAACAACAGATGGGCAGGACAGGTAGAGTGGAGTGGTGAGAAGAGGGAGGACTCAGGTGATCCATCCCAAGTGTCTCAGCAGATGGTGCCATCAACTGCCATGAGAAACACTCCAAGAGGGTGCTGGTGACAGGTTTTAGGGGAGAAATCATGTAAGCTAGCATTATTAAGGCATTGCTTAAAAGTAAATTTCAAGTTCTTTAAAAAAAAAAAAAGTACTACTGAAACTAATTTCTAGAAAAATTAGGCCGGGCATGGTGGCTCACACCTTTAATCCCAGCACTTCGGGAGGCCAAGGCGGGCAGATTATTTGAAGTCAGGAATTCAAGACCAACCTGGTGAAAGCCCATTTCTACTAATAATACAAAAGTTAGCTGGGTATGGTAGCACATGCCTGTCATCCCAACTATTCAGGAGGCTGAGGCAGGAAAATCACTTGAAACCAGGAGGCAGTCTGCAGTGAGCAGAGGTCGCACCACTGCACTCCAGCCTGGGTGACAGAACAATAACTGTCTCAAAGGAAAAAAAAAAAAAAGAAAAACTAAATAGGTATTATCTAATCATAATTTCTCCTATATCTTTTGGTTTGTCTACTTCCATCTATACTGTATTATTTAACAATGTCACCATATATCTGTATTTACACTTTGTAATTATCAAAACATGTTAGAAACAATTTCATTTGGGGTTCAAAATAGGTCCGTGAGGTATTGCGACTGCCATTTTTTTTTTTTTTGAGACGGAGTCTCCCTCTGGCACCCGGGCTGGAGTGCAGTGGCGCGATCTTGGCTCACTGCAACCTCCTCCTCCTGGGTTCAAGTGATTTTACTGCCTCAGTCTCCTGAGTAGCTAGGACTACAGGCACATGCCACCATGTCCGGCTAATTTTCTGATTTTTTAGTAGAGACAGGGTTTCACCATATTGGCCATGCTGGTCTTGAACTCCTGACCTCATGATCCACCCGCCTTGGCCTCCCAAAGTGCTGGGATTACAGGTGTGAGCCACCAAGCCTGGCTGTATGATTGCCATTTTATAAATAAAAGTATGAAGCTTAGGGCCCCACAACTCAAAATTGGAAGAATGTAGATTCAAAACCAGGGTACCCAGCCACAAGCTCAGGGTTCTTTCCATATCTTAGCTAACATATACAATGGTAAAACCTCTTATAGCTTTAAAATGCTTCCATGTCCAATACTCACTTGATTATGTGTGTGTGTGTGTGTGTGTGTGTGTATATCATGTGAGTTTATGTGTACATAAAACATCCATGCCATCTGTTCTTTTTGACAGGGGGCACCTTGCTGTCACTCAGGCTGAAGTGCAGTGGTGTAAGCATAGCTCACTATAGCTTCAACTTCCCAGGCTCAAGCAATCCTCCCACTTCAGCCTCCTGGGTAGCTAGAACCATAGGCATGTGCCACCACACCCAGCTAACTTTGTTTTTTTTGAGACAAGGTCTTGCTCTGTCACCCAGACAGGAGTGCGGTGGCATGAGCACAGCTCACTGCAGCCTCAATCTCCTGGACTCAAGCTATCCTCCTTCCTCAGCCTCCTGAGTAGCCAGGACCACAGGTGTATACCACCACACCTGCCTAATTTTTGTGTTTTTTGTAGACAAAGGGTTTTGCCATGTTGCCCAGGCTGGTCTCAAACGCCTGAGCTCATGCAATCTGCCCACCTCAGAGTGGGATTACAAATCCTGGGATTACATGCATAAACCACTATACCCAGTCACTTTTTTTTTTCTGTAGAGATGGGGTCTTGCTATGTTGCCCAGGCTAGTCTCAAACAGATCCTCCCTCCTCAGCCTCCCAAAGTGCTAGGATTACGGGTGTGAGCCACTGTGCCCAGCATCTGCTCTTTCATCTAAGTAGGAAAATAAAGACAGTAGAAATCTTTCTCAGCACTGTCCAACAGAACTATCTGCAAGTGGTGGAAATGTTATAGATTTGTGCTAAGACATGGACATGTGACCACATGTGGCTGAGTACTTGAAACATGGCAAGTACATCTGAATCTTTTTTAATTTTAATTTACATAGCTGCATATGGCTAGTGGCCACCATACTGCAGGGCATAGCTCTAGATCCTTCCATTCTGACCAAGTTTCTTCTCTAAACTCTGCTCTGCACATATACCTTTGTCTCAGGAATCCCAGTATAAGTGAAGCCAGACTCTCACTTTAAGTCAATTTCTTCTCAGTTTATTTATATCATTTCAATGTCAAAACAACCACAATATCCCAATTTATAATAATATAACATTAAGAGAAGAATTCTACTGTCAAGTACACAGTTATAAGGAATCCCAATTAAAGGAAGGTCTATTTAATTTGGTCTTAAATAGCTTAAATTTGTCTGAAGGGAATTCTAAGCAATGTTGCTTTGGATCTTTGATATTTTTTCTTGTTTTGAGACAAGGTCTCATTTTGTCATGCAGGCTGATTGTAACGGCTTAATCGTAGCTTACTGAAAGCCTTGAACTGGGCTCAAGCCATCCTCCCACCTCAGCATCTAGAAGCTAGGACTACAGGCATGTACCACTACACCCAGCTAATTTTTTTATTCTTTGCAGAAATAGGGCCTTGTTATGTTGCCCTAGTATTCAGATAAATGCAAACTAATATAGTCCCCACAATTGAAATGGCCATTTTTTAAAACAAATTTTCAAAATTTGTATAAACATAAAGGAGTTTGTAAAAATGATAAAACTGAACAAAATACAACAAGCAATGATTAGTTGGAATGAGTGAAATGTAACTACTACAACTTTAGTTTTGCAAAAGAGCTCAATGTTGTTTACACTGATTTACTTTCTACACCACAAATAAAAGCCAGAAAGTGCAGTGTTCAGTTTTAACAAGCACAAAACTATAAAAGAAGATGTCCCTTACAAAACAGCAAGGACGCCCAAGGAGTGCTCTTGTACATCCAGAGCCCCCAGCACAGTGTCCAGATGGGATAAGTTCTTCGCAAGGAGTTCCCCACTCTTGTTGATCAGTTCACAAAGCTGTGTCATTTGCCCTGGAAAACAGGAACAACACTATTGTATTTCAGCTACAGCACTAAACAAACTAAAGGAACTCTAACCACAGCTTTGTACTTCAGAGCCTGAAGTGCCCAAAAATGATTCTTACATATTCTTCACTTCAGATGAGGACCCAGAACATGGGAGTGAAACCTGTCCGTGGTCACAAAATGAGTTAAGAGATTACACTGGACCTTCCACTTCTCTCTGAATTTTTCACCTTTTCCTCTATTCCGTTTTCCAGTCTCTCAAGCCAGAAATGTACATGTTACTATTAGCACCTCTCTGCATCCAGATGATTTAGTTTTACTTCCTAAGTCTCTCAGCTCCATTCCTTTTTCTCTTCCCTCCCTGCCTTAATCCAGATCCTCATCATTTTTTGTCAGGGCTATATCATAAATCTTCTATTATTATTATTTTTTTTTTGAGACGGAGTTTCGCTCTTGTTACCCAGGCTGGAGTGCAATGGCGCGATCTCGGCTCACCGCAACCTCCGCCTCCTGGGTTCAGGCAATTCTCCTGCCTCAGCCTCCTAAGTAGCTGGGATTACAGGCGCGCCACCATGCCCAGCTAATGTTTTGTATTTTTAGTAGAGACGGGGTGTCACCATGTTGACCAAGATGGTCTCGATCTCTTGACCTCGTGATCCACCCGCCTCGGCCTCCCAAAGTGCTGGGATTACAGGCTTGAGCCACCGCGCCTGGCCTTTTTTTTTTTTTTTTGAGATGGAGTTTCGCTCTTGTTGCCCAGGCTGGAGTGCAATGGTGCGATCTCGGCTCAAGCCTCTGGGTTCAAGTGATTCTCCTGCCTCAGTCCCCTGAATAGCTGGGATTATAGGCATGTGGCACCATGCCCGGCTAATTATTTTTATTTTTAGTAGAGACGAGGTTTCTCCATGTTGGTCAGGCTGGTCTCGAACTCCTAACCTTAGGTGAACCGCCTGCCTTGGCCTACCAGTGTTGGAGGTGTGAGCCACCACACCTGGCCTATATCATATATCTTCTAAATGGTCCGCCTACTGTGATCTCTCTCCTCCAACCCACGCTTCGTATTAGTACTGTCTGTTCTAAACTACGCATTCAATCGAATTACTCCAATGAGTTTAAGAAATCCAAATGCCTTGGCCTGGACTAAGGACCTTCAGTAACTGGTCCCTCCTACCTTTCCAGCCTTATCTCCTGCTACTTCCCCTCACAAACGTACTCTTTGGTCACAGCAAGCTCAGAAAAATCAACATTCTACGTTCTCTCCTCTTTATGCTTCTACACATGCTGTTTTCTATCCTCCTCCCGACATCCTCTGCTACGTGACTGAGCCTCACCCAGAATTCGACAATCAGCTTGTGGCTTCTCTGGACCCTCATCTCAGTTCCCTTCCCCATGGATAAGCTGGATATCTGCCCTCTCTGCCTCACATGGGACTGTGGTGGTTAGGTAATTCAGTAAATTCATGTGGAGGGACTGTCCCTTTCTCCAGCTCTAGAATACAGCACATGCTTAGCAGCTCATCAAGCAGCTACCTGTTGAATTAATCTCCTAAGTGATCTATTTTTCCCCATACTACAATACTATGTTTGTTTTGTTTTTTTTGAGACAAGATCTTATTCTGTCACCCAAGCTACAGTGCAGTGGTGTGATCATAGCTTGCCAAAGCCTCAACCTCCTGGGCTCAAGCAATCCTCCCATCTTAGCCTCCCGAGTAGCTGGGGCTACAGGTGTACATCACCATGCCCCTCTTATTTTTTTGAAATTTTTTGTAGAGACTAGAGTCTCACTATGTTGCCCAGGATGGTCTCCTATTCCTGGGCCCAAGCAATCCTCCTGCCTCAGCCTCCCAAAGTGCTGGGATTACTGGCATTAGCCACCAAACCTGGCCTGCAATGCTATGTTTTAACAACTAAGGTACAAAATCTATTAATAATTTGGCCTCAGACGGGTGCTATGGCTCACACCTGTAATCCTATTGATCTCTTGAAGTCAGGAGTTCAAGACCAGGCTGGCCAACATGGCAAAACCGTGTCTCTACTAAAAATACAAAAATTAGCTGGGTGTGGTGGTGCACACCTGTAATTTCAGCTACTCGGGGGCCTGAGGTGGAAGAATCCTTGAACCTGGGAGATGGAGGTTGCAGTGAGCTGAGATCATGCCACTGCACTCCATGCTGGGCAACAGAGCAAGACTCCGTCTGAGGGGAAAAAAAATTAAGCCTGAATTGGTACCATGAAGTAGATCCATCGATTTCGACAATTATTCTCATGGTAGACACCATGGCCACACTCTAGCTGTCTTTCTGGTAACAGAGGGGATATATTTAAGTCCATGGGCATTAACTCAAGTCTCCTACTTCTGTGCTTCTACATAACAACTGCATCATCTTTGCCTTACTAAAAGAATACAACATCGTATAATGCTTAAAATACAAGTGACTATAGCCAGGTACTTTTTATAATTTAATTTCTGGTGCTCCTATAATACTTTTAAATTTGATACGTTTTACTGAAAGCAAAGGAAATATACCATTATTATACATGCATGGCAAAACAAGAATAAAACAGCTGTGATCTTATTAGGTATCACCTCTTGAGATCACACAGATTTAACTGGGAAATACCAACTCATCATAATTTTATTACAGATCTCACTGGTAGGTATGAAGTAACTTCTTCCAGTTAAATAATTTGCCTTTTTAACCCATTACTCTAAATATATTAACAATAATTTGTAACACCCAGAAATAAGCATTGCAATCCATTAGTTCTCTACTAATTAATAATCAGTGCCAAGTTGAGACTGAAATAAAAGCTGGGTCACTACGAAATCCTTAGATAACTAATATTAGTGCAGGGCCAAGGGCAGAGTCAAAAAAAAGCATAAGTGCCACAGGGTGCATTTGAAATCAGTCCAACCAGAGATGCGGCCAATGAAATTCTAATTAGAAAAAGCTGGATATTATAATATTCTCTTGAGGTTTACATTAGAAAATTCTGAAGAAAAGCAGAGAAAACAGAAACTCAAAAGATTTTTTTCTTTTTTACTTTATTTTTGGGGGGACAGAGTTTCGCTCTTGTTGCCTAGGCTGGAGTGCAATGACATGACTTTGGCTCACTGCAACCTCCACCTCCCAGGTTCAACCGATTCTCCTGCCTCAGCCTCCTGAGTAGCTGGGATTACAAGTGTCTGCCACCACACTCAGCTATTTTTTGTATTTTGAATGGAGACGGTGTTTCGACATGTTGGCCACACTGGTCTCGAACTCCTGACCTAAGGTGATCCGCCCCCCTCAGCCTCCCAAAGTGCTTGGGATTGCAGGAGTGTGCCACGGTGCCCTGCCTGAAACTCAAAAGATTTTCTGTGCAGCGAGTGTGAGGCACAGCAGCTGACAGCAATGAAAGTTATCATACTGATCTCTGTCTAGCACACTGTTCCTATAGCATCCTACCACCTGATGCCTACAAAAGCCCTAGTTCTGTTTTGTAAATCAGAAAATTGGCCCAGAGAAATTAAGTGGCTCGCACAAGTGACGGAGAAGGGATTTCAACCTGAAGCTTCTAACTACACTACCCCACAGGAAGGAGAAAACTAAGTATTTGTGGCATAAATTAACAAACCAGTGGTTCCTTTATTCATAGAAAATGCAAGTCTATGTCTTCCCTGTGAACCTAATTTCTTTAAAAAAAAAAAAAAAAAAAGGAAAATGAGGAAGAACTGTTATTTATTAAGTGCAGGTCCATATCAGATCATATGCCTTACACCAGTGAGGTAAAAGCGCTCCTCCATTTCTACAATGTAGACACAAAAGACTGAGAGATTAAAGGCGACTTGTCCAAGGTCACGAAGCTCCTAGAACTTTACAATTAATGACGGTAACAATAATTTGCAGCTGTATTTATTGCCCCCCTTATGACAGACACTCTCACTTAATCTTCCCATCTTTATATTAAGTAGGTACTTATTTTGCAGACGAAGAAACTGAAGCATGGGATAGTTAAAGGGGCCTTCACAGCCAGCATCTAATTATTCTAATTTCGAGTCCGGAATTCGGTATATTCATACGCGATGAATGAACCAAACAACCTTGAAAGTGAGAGCAAAATCATCACAGTTCTACTCCTAGAAATGGAGTCCTGGCCGGGCGAGGTGGCTCACGCCTGTAATCCCAACACTTTGGGAGGCCGAGGTGGACGGATCACTTGAGGTACGGTGTTCGAAACCAGCCTGGTTTCACCAACAGTGAAACCCCATCTCTACCAAAAATACAAAAAAATAAAATAACCGTGCGAGGTGGTGGGCGCCTGTAATATCAGCTACCCGGGAGGCTGAGGCAGGAGAATCGCTTGAATCCGGGAGGCGGAGGTTGCAGTGAGTCGAGATCGCGCCACTGCGCTCCAGCCTGGGCGCAGAGCGATACTCTGCATCAAAAGAAAGAAAAGAAAGCGGGTCCTACGAGCGAGAGCTTCCGCAGCATTCTGTAGGACCAAAACAGGCGCACGGGTTCCCGAGCGTGGGCCGCCTGGCAGCTGAAGAGCCGGCCAAGACGAGCAGCGGAGCCAAGGCACCCAGAACCGACTCGCCTCCCGCCCGCTCCCAGCGGCCTAGTCAGCAGGCGGCGGGGAAACTGACATGGCGGTGCGCCAATCACCGAAGGCAAGAGAGACAAAGGGGACCAATAGTTGCCCGAGAAGGCGTCTGGCGGAAGTCACGCCCCCAAACTGTCAAGCAAAGCGCCCGGTGGAAGGGGCCCGGGCCGGGGGGAGGGGGCTCCTAGCGGCCCGAGGGAGGGGAGGCCGGCCGGCGAGGACCGCGGAGTGCGAGGAGGCTGCCTACACTCGGCCGCGCTCGATCCTGCCCTGATCTAAACGTTGCAACCCTGATCCCGGCCCTGGAGAAGAGGCTCAGAGCTAAAAGGGCGGTCCCAGTCATCCGTGCTGGCGCCTGGGGATGCAGGCCCGTCCCCGGTACCCGCCCAGGCCCAGCCCGGTGGCCTAGGACCTCACCTTGAGCTGAGAGCTGTCGGACACTGTTCACGAACTGCTCCAGGGCAGACGCCATGTTTTCCCCCGAGCGACTCGAGCGGCGAAGGCAGCACGCGCGGGAAAAGACTGCCGCTCTAGGAGGAGGGGCCGCGGCGATCCACCTGAGGGCCTCGCGAGCGGCGACGTCACTTCCGGTGCTTCAAGCACCGCGAGAATCTACCTAGCTGCCAACACGTTGGTGTTTCCATGGAAACAGCCGCAATTCGCCGTAACCGGAAATTGGCGCCCGTCGTCCCCGCCTTCTTAATTCAGTGCGCTTGTGAAATCACTCCGCATGTTAAATTGGGGATAGTGGGCATAGAAAGGAACAAAACTTGTAACTAGGCAAGTATTTTCCGGTCTGGATTTTGCTAGAGAGGCCCTGCGGCTTTCCACCTGGACAGATGCTTCAATGAGGCACGACTTCATTGCCACGTCTCCCATGAAGTTTTCCCCGTGATTTTAGGCTCTGGAGCCAAGCAGCCTGGGTTCAACTCGGTTTTCTACCAGTTAGTAGCTGTGTGACTTTGAGCAAGTCACTTGACTGTCGTGTGCGTTGTTTTCCTCATTTGTAAAATCTCAGTGTCCTTAACTGCATAAAACACTTAGGACAGCGCTAGGGAGAACTATAGTTATTCCTTCAAGATGTACTTTGAATGGGGCCGGGCGCGGTGGTCATGCCTGTAATCCCAGCATTTTGGGAGGGCGAGGCCGGCGGATCACGAGGTCAGGAGATTGATACCATCCTGGCTAACATGGTGAAACCCCGTCTCTACTAAAAATGCAAAAAATTAGCGGGGCATGGTGGCGTGCGCCTGTAGTCCCAGCTTTTTGGGAGGCCGAAAGCAGGAGAATTGCTTGAACCCGGGAGGCGGAGGTTGCAGTGAGCCAAGATCGTGCCACTGCACTCCAGCCTGGGTGACAGAAACTCTGTCTCAAAAAAAAAAAAGATGTACTTTGAATGAATGGATCCCTCCCCACAACAAGTAAAAAAAAAAAAAAAAAGCAACGCCACACACAAAAAGTGAATTGATTTTCCCCATCTGGGATTGATCTCTCCTCCGCTTGTCCCCTAAGGCACTTTGTTCTTCTGTTACTACGTTGCTACTTCTACTCTGTTACAGAAGTGTGTCTCCATAGTCCATATCATATCTGTAAACCAAAAATAAAAGTCTAAGCACCCCAACTGACTGGTGGATCCTCTCCTAAGCCAAGGACATTCCAATTTATCCTGAAAAACTAGTTCAGGCCATGATGGGAAGTGGTAGTCAGACATGCCTCACAGACATCAACTCAGAGACCTTAAGACTAGTAGACTCAAGACTGATAAGAAATATTTACAATCTATTCTGTCTGAATCCTGCTACCTGGAAGCCTCACCTGCAGGGACATGGATGAAGCTGGAAATCATCATTCTCAGCAAACTGACACAAGAACAGAAAACCTGCATGTTCTCACTCATTAGTGGGAGTTGAACAGTGAGAACACATGGACACAGGGAGGGGAACATTACACACTGGGGACTGTCAGGGGTGGGGAGCTAGGGGAGGGATAGCATGAGGAGAAATACCTAATGTAGATGACAGGATGATGGATGCAGCCAACCACCATGGCATGTGTGCAGCTGTGTTAACAAACCTGCACGTTCTGCACATGTACCCCAGAACTTAAAGTACAATAAAAAACAAACAAAAAGCAGTCTCTGTCCTTCTCTCCTGCAGATAACACCCTAGAAAAAAAAGGGAGAGTTAGTGTTCCGAAGGAAGGGAACATGGCTCTATAAAATCATGTCACAGAGGACATTGACCTGGTCTGGGAGAAACAGGGAAGGCTTTCTTGAGGAAATGGCATAAACCGAGCTCTGAAGAAAGGGGAAGAGTTAATAAGATAAGGGGGAGGAACTATTTCTGAGTGAGAGGACAGCAGGGTGCTAAGATCCTTCATGTGAAAGGAGCATGCTAGTTGAGGATGAAGAACTAAAATAACATCCTTGTGGTAGGAGGGGAGTGGTTTGTAAGGTGGGCGGGGACCAGGTCAAGTAGGACTGTTAAAGGTAGCGGAGTTTTTTCTGAGAAGATTCTTACATCTCAGCCTCCTGAGAGTTTTATGCAAGTGGGTGGCAGGATCAAATTTGCATTTTAAGGCCAGGCTCGGTGGCTCATGCCTGTAATCCCAGCACTTTGGGAGGCCGAAACAGGTGGATCATTTGAGGTCAGGAGTTCTAGACCAGCCTAGCCAACATGGTGAAACCTGGTCTCTACTAAAAACACAATTAGCTGGGCATGGTGATGCATGTCTGTAATCCCAGCTACTCAGGAGGCTGAGGTGGGAGAATTGCTTGAGCCTGGGAGGTGGAGGTTGCAGTGAGCTGAGATTGCACCATTGCACTCCAGTCTGAGCGAGAGAGTAAGACCCTGTCTCAAAAATAAAAATACAAAAGAGGGGCTGGGCGCGGTGGCTCACGCCTGTAATCCCAGCACGTTGGGAGGCCGAGGCGGGTGGATCATGAGGTCAAGAGATCAAGACAATCCTGGCCAACATGTGAAACCTCGTCTCTACTAAAATACGAAAATTAGCTGGGCATGGTGGCATGTGCCTGTAGTCCCAGCTATTTGGGAGGCTGAAGCAGGAGAATTGCTTGAACCCAGGAGGCAAGATGAAATGAGCCGAGATCATGCCACTGCACTCCAGCCTGGCACCTGGCAACAGAGCAAGAACCTGTCTCGAAAAAAAAAAAAAAAAAGAAAGAAAAAAAGAACTTTAAGGGTGATTCCCAGCAATCTGAATTTAAGAAGCCTGCAGGTAATTCTGATGATGCTAAATTCTGAGAGCATTGGGACTATGGCCTCCAGATGAGCCAGCATGCAAATAACACTCATTTCCAAAACAGCTAAAAGTAATTCCACCCTTCTCTTTCCTCTCAAAAACAAGTGACTGAAAGAGATGTGATTATAGAGAAAAACCTGAATGTATTTTCCTTTCACCCCCCTTGAATTTTGATACCACTATGTGAATTTATTTGGCCACTGAAACACAAGTAGAAGTGGCATGTTTCACTTTTGGGTGAGAGCTTTAAGTGTCAGGGCACCAGGATTGGATGGACAAGCCACCAACCAACCTTCTGAACCCACACTGGAAATGTGTGTGTGTGTGTGTGTGTGTGTGTGTTAAAAAAAATTGTTATGTTGAATTCTACTGTGGCTTAGCTGGGTGCCTCTGCCTCAAGGTCTCACACAAGGCAGCCATTGGGTATTATCTAGGGCTATGGTCTCATCAGAAAGCTCAACTGGGAATGGTCTGTTTCCAAGTTCATTTACACGGTTGCTGGAAGGATTCAGCTACTCATGGGCTATTTGACTGAGGACCTCAGTTGCTTGCTGGCTGTTGGCCAGGGACCTTGCTCAGTTGCTTGCCACATGGGCCTCTCCATAAGGCAGCTCAGAACATGGCAGTTGGATTCTCAGAGAGAGGGAAAAGAGAAGAGGAGAGGAGGGGAGAGAAGGGAGGGGGAGGAGGATAAAGAAGGGGATGGGAAAGGGAAGAGAATTAATGCTAAAGCCATAGTCTTTTTGTAACCTAATCTTGGAATTGATGTCCCACCCCTTTTGCCATAGTGTATCCATTAGAAGTGAGTTGGTGTAGCTGATACTCAAGAGCGGGGATGTTTCAAAAGCACGTCATGAGGCAGGGCTTATCGGGAGCCATTTTATTTTATTTTTAATTTTATTTATTTATTTATTTTTTCCGAGACTGAGTCTTACTGTCACACAGGCTGGAGTGCAGTGGTCCAATCTTGGCTTACTGCAACCTCTGCCTCCCAGGTTCAAGTGATTCTGGGAGCCATTTTAGAGGCTGCCTACCACAATGAGTGAGAAATAAACTATTGTTAAGCCACTGAGATTTTGGCGTTGGTATTGCAATATAACCTAGCCTGTCATCTGATGCAGTGTTTATCTTCCATCATTCAGAAACTGATGCTCAGAAAGATTAAGGAATTTGGCCAAAGATACATAGCTAGGTATTGGCAGCACTAGGATTCAAGCCTATGTCTGTCTGACTCCATGCCTGGAGCTTTTTTATTTTATTTTTTATTTTTTTGAGATGTAGTCTCACTCTGTTGCCCAGGCTAGAGCACTGTGTCACGATCGTGGCTCACAACCAGGGTGGTCTTGAACTCCTGGCCTCAAGTAATGCACCCACCTTAGCCTCCCAGAGTACCGGGATTATAGGTGTGAGCCACCGTGCCTGGCCTCCAGGCCCTGAGCTTTTATTCAGTATATGTATTGTGCAATTGGGAAATGTGGGGATAGGAAAAGTATTCAGTTTCAGTTCGTGGGACAGTAGCGACCCTCCATAGCAGCTAGGGCCTATTGACTGTATGGGGTGAGAGGATGGGAAAAGGAACACAAAGATACGCCCCACAATCTTGTAATCATTCCCTACAAACGGCCATATTCCCAGATATATTCACAATCATTCTTCCATTAGCTTAGCAGGTCCATGTTTCCGTCCACAGCCGCATGCAGAATCTGCTTCTTAGGAGGATGGATATATTCCAGCAACGTGTCCGAAGCCATTTATCAACCCCTTCCTGTGACTGTTGAGTCATTCAAGGCCAGAGAAACTGCAACTTACCCAAGGTCACACAGCAACTAGTGACAGAGGTAGGACAATGTTGCCAGCATCCCTCCCCAAACCTCTTTTCCTGACACCATGTGGCAACCAAGCAGGTATCCACATTGTTGGAAACAGATGCTCAGTGCTGCAAGAAAAAAATATTAGCGCTGAGACAAAGGATCTCTCAGCAAAGCAATTTTTACTTTTTTTTTTTTAACTTCCTGTACTGCAGGAAAGATACCCTCACTAGCCATCTTGCCGCAAGAGTACAATGAATAAAGGAAAAGCAAACATATTTATCCCTTATGCATTTGGGGTTGTACTTACTGCTGTGTCTGATCTCCGTTGGTTGGAGCCAGACATCCCAATCTAAACTAAAACCTGATTGGCTAACAACTTAAAACTTTTCTTTTTTTTCTTTCTGTTTTTTTTTTTTTTTTTGAGACGAAATCTCACTCTGTCGCCTAAGCTGGAGTTCAGTGGTGCGGTCCTGGTTCACTGCAACCTCTGCCTCCTGGGACCAAGCAATTCTCCTACCTC